TACGGTTTAATATAAAAAGGCTTTTAAAAACTTACGGCGGAAGGCATAATTCTTGTGAATCCTTGCAAGTAACGAAAGCACCCACATCGACACAAAAGGTCGCCAACTGAATTTCGAGAAAAAGTATTACTAGAAAATACTGATCTAGTAACTTCACAGAACAGATTAGATACGCTCTGTGAAGTGTACTGAAGGTAAAGAAAAATGGTTACCGGCTCCGCTTTCCATCGAGAGATCAGCTTTTTGTCAACAAATTCATAGTCAATATCAGGTGTTAAATGTAATCCGGCTGCAATGAACTAACTACAGGGATTATTTGGAGAAATCGTGCGATAAATCATCAACAGGATTACCTATGAGCTTTTGGCTAGAGAAGTTTGAACAAAGTTTCCGAAAATCTGCCCAAATAGCCCAACAATCTCTCTCATCATTTGGTAACCGCACAAGGTCGTCAACTGAAGTCGGAACCAGAATCCACAGACTGCAAAATAATTTACAGAGATAAAAACAACCATAAGGTCTAACTGGTAAGATTTAGAAAACATTATCTTTGGGCATACCACAGGTTCACGTTCTTTGTCCATAGCCATTGATTAAGAATACGGGCTAACCGAGGAGAATCTGCATGTTTTAGCCGAAATACAGCACTGCGGAGGCCCATATAGGCGCAGTAATTGAGCTCCTTAAATAGAGTGAGAACGCCGTTGCTTGCCACTTGAACAGGGGCGTTACGCAGTGGCAATAAACATTCGCAAAACTGACGAAAAACCAATGTTCAAGAATGATTCCAAACCTTTTGCAATTCAATCTCGGACAATGCAGCTAGTTCTTCCTTTTCAGAATCGCAGTCTATCCATGAAGAGATTTGGGCATTGACATAAGTCTCCCATAAATGATTCTGCAGCTGCACATCTGGGAGATCAATTGGGGGAGGAACGGCCGTCGTGCTGTATGAAGAAAAATTAGATAATCCGAAAAGTTTAAGCACAAACAATCCGATCGGTTTATCCGTTAGCAGGAATACAAACCTATTCGGCTTCCAAAAACCGCGCTTCACTCCGCCGATTGGATAACTGACAAAATTGTACATCTGACATCCTAAACGTTGACTGTAT